AGCTGGCATGCAACTGTTGTATTTATTTTCCTTTTCTTTTATGTATTGTGGCACAGTAGCTGAGGTATTTCCCACCCCTAGCTGACGTGCATAATGATATAATGATGACGTACATTGGCGAACCCATACGTGTTCTTGGCAAATGCTTCGTAAAGGCACAATACGGCGACAGGATACAAAAGCTTCCTGTATATGTGATCGCTGGGAATCGTCCAAATCTGCTAGGAAAAGACTGGATACATGCATTCCCGGAGATATTGGAAACGGTAAAAACAGTCACTGACGTCTCGGGACTTGAAGCCTTGCTAAAACAACATTCCCCTATTTTTGCCGATGAACTTGGGGAATTGGAAAGATTTCAGGTTGCGATAAAATTAAAGGAGAGCGCTGGGTCAAAATTCATCAAAGCGCACACACTACCATACTCTATGAGGACTAAAGTCGAAGAAGAATTAAGTCGCTTACAAACGCAGGGTATCATTACTCCTGTAAGTTTTCAGATTAGGGAACATTAATTGTGTGTGACCAAACCTGACGGTTTTGTACGGATTTATGGTGATTATAAAATGTCTGTTAATCAAGCCTCCATGCTAGTCAGGTGCCCATTACCCCGCATTGATGATTTGTACGCAGCACTGGCAGGATGTGAGAAATTTATCAAACTTGATCTCAGTCATGTGTACTCGTAGATGGAGTTCGACGAACCGTCGAGGAAACTTACTACGAGTACCACATATAGGACTATTTCAATATACTCGCTTGCTTTTTGGCATAAGTTCTGCCCCTGGGATCTTCCAAAGGATTATTGACGACCTAGTAAAGGATATACCTTATGCCTGTGCCTATCTGAGACAGAACATCTTCGTACACTCGCTGTCGTACTCGAGCGTTTGGAACGAAACGGATTTAGACTGAGAAAATCAAAATGTGAATTCCTTTCATCTTCCGTTCGTTACCTTGGATACCGGCTGGATAAACACGGGTTACATGTTCTAGATAACAAAGTGAGACCAATTTTAGAAAGTCCCGAGCCGAAGAACATGGGTGAACTTCGTCCGTTCTTAGGTATGCTGTTCCATTATCGCCGATTCTTGAATAATGCATTTACGGTATTGTCTCCACTAAATGAACTGATGCACAAAAATGTACCATGGCGTTGGGTTTCCAGTCAGCGGGATGTCTTCAATGTGACGCGTCCCCTTGTGGAGTCGGGGCTGTCCAGTGCCATCGCATAAACGACGGTTCTTTACGTCCCATAACACTTGCGTCGCACACCTTACAAACTGCAGAGAAAAACTACTCACAACTTGATAAGGAAGCATTAGCAATAATCTTCGGGGTAAAGAAGTTTCACCAGTACTTATGGGGGAATTTCTTCGAGCTACACACGGATCACAAATCATTACTAATGTTCTGGAAGAAACCAAGGGCATTCAGCAAATGGCATCACGCAGAATGCAGTGATGGGCTGTAACCTTGAATGGGTACAGTTACAAGATTGTTTACAGTACGGGTGTCAGCAACCACACGGTCGATGCGCTGAGCCGACTGCCAATAACTGAAAATACACAGGAACATGATCTTCCGTTTGAACTGGGTAATCGAACGCAACATCTAGACACAAAGCCGGTACGAAGTGAAAAAATCTGTCAGTGAACAAAGCGAGACCCAATACTGTCAATGATGAAACGATTTTTGACGGTGAGTTGGACTTCAGAATGAACAGTTGATTTACAGCCGTTCATGATTCGCAGAAACTAAGTGAGCCTATTCGATGGCTGTTTTTTGGGGCTCTCGGCTGGTCCCTTCAGTGACGGCGCGTTCATAGATCCTTACACACACTACACGATGCTCAACCCGGTGTGGCAAGAATGAAAGCCTTATCAAGAGGGTACTGTTGGTGGCCTAAGATCGACTCAGACATAGGAAACTTACTGAGAAATCGTTTACCAACGTAACAAACCACCCCGTCCAGTGCATCCTTGGCGTTGGCCCGATAAGCCGTGGCAGCGGATTCACGCTGGCTACCTCGGACCGATCAATGGGACAATGTTCCTTTTACATATTGATGCACATTCTAAGTAGATCGATGCACACCCAGTTGCTCAAGCGACATCGGAAGCCACCATTAACAAAATGCGCTCTTCATTTGCTACGTTTGGCATTCCAGAAATGCTATGCACAGACGACGATCCACCCTTTATTAGCGCTGAATTTAATGAATTCGTCACTAACAATGAAATCCAGCAAGTAAATCGACCCATATGAGCCAGCAACAAACGGGCTAGCAGAAGGTGCCGTACAAACGGTAAAACAAGGCTTACAAAAGCAACGAACGGGAAGGTTACACACAAAACTGGATCACTTTCTATTCGCCTACCGTTCAATGCTTACTGAGATTACTGGTAAATCCCCGGCGGAATTGAAGTTCGGCAGAAAGCTTGGGACTTCACTTGTTGTTAATCCGCGCGCAGTAGAGGAGCGACAGACGAAAACCTGTGTCCCCAAACGAGTCGAAGACGGAAGTCACATTCGAGCGACATCAATCAGTTTACGCCCGGTTACCGCATGAAAAATCTTGGCGAACTGCAACCGTACTCGATGCGGCAGGGACCCAATGTGGTTTGCAGCTTCCGGACGGGTGAATCGTGCGCCGACACACGGATCACGTACGCTACAGAACCAGTGGTGGTGGAGGAGGTATGTACTCCTACAAGTGGAACTACACTTCGGCAGTCGAGCCGTGTGAGCAAACCTATAGATTGTTTCCAAGCTAGCAACGACGGCAAGAGATGTCACATGCATCTTAACGATCGGTGACTACGCGCTTACTCTGACTGATCCCTTACACACATGCAGGCACGCACGCATACACCAACACCTATCTTTACTTCTCGGAAAGTGTACCCGGTCACTTTTGAAATAAACTGCTCCCGTCTGCGCGTTGTTTTCTTTCTGGCCAAGGGCTAACATACGTATTACTAGGAGTGAGACGTGACAACGGGCAACCGTGGTGACGAGCTGGATTGGAGGAATTAGTGGGTTAGCTGGAACGGGGTCGGAGAGAGCATGTACAGGGGAAGAGGAAAGAAGGGTGACAAAAGTAGGATATTTACGCTTGTCCACCTCACTGTATGCAGCAGATAAGGCGACAATTTTCCTAAGTCCACTGCGCGACGGGTTGGTATATATGCCGTTGCATTTCCAACTGTTTGATTGCTTCCCCAATGTGAGAAGAGATATGATTAACGTACGTGGATTGGATATAGTAATCCGGATAAACAAGGTGCAGTGACTTTAGTTTGTGGCGAGTCACAACCGCCACGCTGCAGTGTTATTAAGCAAACATCTGTGGCTTTTTATAGGGAGAACACTTGCCAGGCGAAAACCCATCATGTCCTGGAACACTGCAGCCGAACTATTTGCTGGAACGGGGTAAACCCGAACCATGCAGTGTGCAGCACAAGGAGGTTGTTCGGCTTGCAAATGTAAACGACGTAAACTGTGAGATGACTCAGTCATTGCGTGCAAGCTCATCAGTTACAAATCATGCAAAGGTCGTAGAAATAAAAAACGCGGCCAGATGAGATCAATGGGTGGTCGAACGTTGGCCAATCGCCACGCCTCGCGCTACCATGGCAAGTTAAGATTCACAGTCAACTGTTTGTGCACGCAAAGTAGTGCCCGTTCTCTATCGAGGACAATGGGCTGATGATCGCGCATCATCGGGGTTAACTCGTTGGCTGGTGCTCAGCCTTGTGATTGCCGAGGCAGCTTGATTTCTCAATTCATCCGATTCTGTCGTCGCCGAATCCATCTGGCTGCGTAACTACTTAGGAATGTGCTCACTGATCCTGACACCTAAACTTCGGTTAGTGCGCCCGATATCGCTGCCTCCGCAGCTACAGGTGAATTTGTATAAGCAGTAGGATATCCACTACCTCGTTGTCGATGTCATGATGGAACACGTAAGCAGAGGTCTTGTTGACGTGAGCAACCGTACAGCTAAACTACGGTTGCTCACGTTAACAAGACCTCTGCATAATTTATGATTGAGGAGCTTGCACGAAATGACTGAATCATCTAACAGTTTGCGTCTTTCGACTTTCCTATTTGGAAATAAAAGGAGAAACTTCTGTTTCATAATTCGAAGTCATGGGTTCCAATGCTGTAGGATGTGAAGGGAGATGTGTGGAGAAGGAGTTCCAATGGAAACAAATGGTAGTCCACCGTTTTGCCGGATGTGAGGCAGTTAGTCTGGCTGTTACGGATTCCCATATCACTCTCTGATAGTTAACAGTTGATCGTAAGGCTAAATGTCCTCGGGAATAAGAAATGAAGTAGGTAAACACCCAGGTTAACACTATCGTGTAACCATTAAGCGGAACTCAAGTTGGGCTCCGGTCAGAATCGATGTGGTACATAAAGAGCAAGCTATTTATATTGCACTGTTGTCGCAAAACTTAACCACTAATGTGAACAGAGTGCGGCAACTCAGGTTGGCGACACATCACATTTTGCGCCTATGTAACTCGGTTCCCGGTCCAGTCAGAATCTTAAGATGTAAAAGGAACGATTACAGAGCGATCGGCCATTCGGGATTCAGCTGAGGCATTGTGGACTGTTCTAGTCATCAATTAATACAACAAACACCACAGTTGGAAGTTATGCACTGGTGCAATTTGATCACACACACAGAACATTATCACCAGATAAGCGATTAAAAATGTTTGTTAATATAAAGAACAATAAAGGTGACTAAAAAGGTGTTAGGCTACACGCTTACGCATGGAGGATTAGGTTGTGTTGGACAACTTGACTTCAATCAGACAGCTAACAACTAACAAAAGCGGATGTATTGATCTATTTAAAACCGGTTAGAGTGAGTCTTGCGAAGCTTAAAAATAGGTGAAGAATGATCGGAAAGATAGGCAGAACGTGTGAACGTTCGTTCGGAAAATCTGTTCAGTAATGCCCCTAGATAGGGTGTGAAAACGTACCGTACAAGGAGAGGGATTCCGTTTGGAAGATTCGTTGCAAAGGAGGGAAATAGACGACCAAGAGCTGGCCCAACAGGGATAATGTCACGGCGACTAGGAACACTCGATTGGTGGTGAATCCGAGAGAAAAGATAGATTTGCTCTGCAACGAATCGAAAGAAATCTCCATAAGAGCGGCGAATAAGATAAAAACAGTCCAGTCAACGATTGCGAACAAATAGCAACCATATTGCTGCTACTCAATGTGGAAAAAAACGTTTAATCCCAAACATCCGAGAAAAAGTGATCCTTTCAGTTAGCAACTCTGGTCAACTTTTTTGTTCAACAGCAGCACGTTTCATTTGAGAGTACGGGGGCGACTATGAAGTAGAACATCGCAACCGAGGTAGGTGCAAACGAAGTGTATCAGGGGTGTGTGCGTGTGCAGAGCGCACTGCTTGTTGTATTTTTGTTGAAGATGCCAAGAGTGAATAGATTTTGAACCAATTCGGTTTGAAAGCGTTAGATGGAACATGAAAGTCAGTTCGAGTTGACTAAAATCAACAATCTAATGTGTGGTAGTTTGTGTACCCTCGGTCCCCATGTGTGGCATCCACAGATCTGCCTGTTGTAACTCCTAAGCCCTCAGGTTGTTTTGAGAAGCTTCGTCGTAGCCAGACAGCCACCACACATCCGGGAAAGCGACGGACAGCCGTTCTGCCCAATAGGGATTCGTTAGCTGTGCACATCAGAAGAGTCCTGTCGGATCCAAATGCAGAATATGACGTGTTGGCTGATTATTAGTCGAGACAGATCGCGGCTCATCCAATCTCCAGTAACAAGTAAATGCCTTAGCAGCCTAAGTGATACCATGATTAGTCGTGGTTCGCAAAGGTAGTAGCTATGGGGGGCCAAACGTGTCCTCTGCACGTCCATAACATGCACGACAGCGTAGAATGAACTGCGGTATATAACAGTTAGAAATCAGTCACTGCGGTACGCCACTGTAACCCATGGCTCTGTGGCATAGGTCGTCTGCTCGAAAGGATAAGGTCATGGGTTCGAATCCGACAGGATTCAGCGGGTGAGTGCTACTGATGAATCCCAATAAGAAGAAACGGCCATCTAGTACTTTCCTGGATGTGTGGTGGCTGTATGACTGGGGCCGGTTGCAACGAACCGCTTCAGAAACACAAATCTACTGCTCTCTAATAGATTAGACTGTATTACCTCAATTCAAATCTCTTCAAAGGGCAGGTAGTGCACACAGTCGTGATGGCCAAGAGAGGGAGTGGACTAATTCCGAACCCGGTCCGTCTGAATGGCTCGAAATTATTGGCCTTCATAATGCGCATTCGACCAGTCCTCAAATGGCGTTTCTTGATATAGCTTAACACGAGGCCAACCGAATTACACTGAAGAACATACGACGCCTACTCATAAATTAACCGTTTGGTTTTGCGACGTAACTCTGGGACTGTGAGCACAGCGGATACCACCAACAAATACTGCACGAGGGTGTGGGTTAGAATAAATTTCATACAATTCTTCTCCACATTATCAACCATGAACGCGCTTACTATCCTGGCTTTGTAAATCAGTTAAAAGTGATAGCTCGGTGTGGCGTTAGGAGTGGAGAGCTAGTGGAAACCACATGCATAATGGTTCCGTTCTGCATCACTATTCGATGTCATGGAATAAGAATGGTTGAGTTTACAACAGCATGTGTCGCGATCTGTATTTCGTACTAAAATACAAACATTCGGATAATTCTGAATGTACAACTATGAGTCAAGTTAGTTGGAATTGGCAGTCATCTCTACCCTGGTGTGGATTCGATGGCGCACTTATCCAAATTAAAAAAGGACATTTTGAAGCTAATCGAGAGCGGCAACGATTGATGATGTTAAGGGAGCCTGTCCACAGCAGCCTTCGGAGTCAGCCTTTCTCGCTAGCAGCTAGGACCAGTGTGACCCCGAGGCAACCCGAAGTTTATTGGTCAGTCAATGAGAACAGCGCAATGATGACGTTATCAATGAGGATGATTTACCTTAACGCCTACCGGTAAGCGCATTACATCGGCTATCAACGTGTTATCAGGCATCTAGTAGTTGCTGAAATTCAAGAAATTGCAGCTGGGTCATTCTTGGGAACTATTTATTTGACACCAGAATTTGCTTGTAAATAGCGCTTGCCGGGTGTTCGATACCGTTTTCATCTGAGACCTTTGTCTTCTTGGGATGCCGGTCGGTCATCTTGCGCAATTGGACAAAGTTATCCGTACAGTCAGTGGAAACCACAAAAGATGGTCACATTAAAAATGCCCACCATGTAGCAGTCAGAAGGTCAGATGACAAGGCGATGGCTATGGAAAATGGAGGCAATGTATGAACATTATATGTTGGCAAATTTTAGCGGCAATCGTTCGATCGCAATGGCTTCAGCCACTGCCAAAAGCAGTTATTTTCAAGCCCCCTCATAGGATACCCATTTCAGACTGCTGAATAGAAAATTAACGATTACAGTAAACAAAACATCTTGTCGCTTGGCTCCCTATCCATGCTGAGACCGCTCCACTGATTACTTAGTGAATTAAAGGAGTCCAGTCAGATATGAGCCTATGATTCTATATCAATTGCCTGTATTCGTGTGCGATGTAACCAGGACATGATAGAGGAACGCTGCCTAACCTCAATCAAACACGGTAATGCCAAGAGAGCATATAGTTCCCGCATGAAGTACCTGATTTTCACCGAAAAACGGATTCGCCGCGTTGACTCATTTAAAGCGTTCTAGGCCTTATTGAGGTAAGACCCTAATGAAAAAAAATGTGTGCGCTGATGACGGCTGAAGTCACTGCAATCAAACGATTGCGACCGGAATTGTGCAACCAGAAGACTTTGGTGCAAAGACTCATTTTATCAACTGACCTGGCATGTAGCCGGCGAGTTTAATATGCTGTAAGATCGTCGCCGCGTCTAACTACATTCTAGTGTTCTTCCCAGTTTTGGGTAAACGTGACTCATTGAAAATGCGTCGAGGTAGTCGTAGCCGTTGATCACGATTCATGACGGTACATATGAGATGAGAGTTAATGGGAATTGCTTCGCAAGAAATTGGCGTTTTATGTTTGAATAGGCATAATCGATGAGTCCTAACTTCTGTGAAGAGGCATCGCGTGAAGTAAGAATTGGAGCAGACCTGACTGGAAAAATTCAAACTTGACCGTGTTCTACGATCCCTTTACGTGGAGTTTCCAACACACTTTTGAAATCATATCGACCATCATTAGTTCATTCCGTTTTACCTGACTACAATTGTTATCACGTTATACGTGTGATATTTTGAAATCGATATGTTTCTGCGCTCATCAGCAGTGCCTTTTCCAACGGCCACGTTATAAGGAATGAATGGAAACGTATTTACAAGAAGCATAATAATTGTGCAAGTAAACACTGTGCTCGATGGAAGGTAGCTCTTCGGAAGAAAAAGCTGGGAAGCGTCCCGATCATACTTACCCGAAACATTCGTTCGCTTGTAGGGAAAATGGTTGAACTAACAAGCACCCGAGCGTATTCACAACTACTCATTAGTTTGTTACAGAATACTTGGCTTCACGAAGAGGTGGATGACGGACTTGTAACGCTAGAGGGGGTCTCAAATGAAACCATCTCGACCGATCTTTCGCCTCCCGTAGCCGAGGCGGCGGTGGAGCCACCATCTACACCAAAAAATTCCTGGTGTGTATCCACAATGGTATTTATTGTTCTGCCTCTCTTCTCAGCACATTAGTTGCTAAGATGCAAGTCAAGATGTATCATAGTGGGTACCGGTCAGATTTCCCCAATGGTCCGAAACGCGAAGCAGAGGCATTTTAGGATGAGTTTACTGTCAGTGTAATAGAACACATCGATTGTTCACTAGGTATTTTTGATGGTGATCTTAACCGATTCGACACCACTTTTAGCACAATGTTTGGGCTCAAAACATCGTAAATTGCCTCACTAGATCCGATATGACTCTTGATCTAGTACAGTGGTTCTCAAGCTTTTTTGAGGTTGTTACCCGCAAAGCGGGTTCACTATAGACAATTACCCACAAATAAATTATAGTTCAAAAAGCTAATCAACTATTGCATTTTTTGCTAAATTTACGAAAAATGAATACCACGTTTAATTACATTTGGACATCCACGTAAAGAAAATACAGTCCAATCTGTCCAAGGCGACCACTCAAGGGACCGCAACACAAAGTGGTCGCCTTGGACAAGTCCATGCACGGGCGACACTACTCTCATGATCGACTGCACATGTGTGATAAACTTGCAAATCGCGAATTACATCTGTAAACTGACGGCTTCTATAACTAGATTTAGCTTCTAATTGAGGCAACAACAGTAGTAATGTATGAGGTAAGACATATTGGTAATAAGAATGCAACAAAGTTACAGCTTATGAGAGAACATTTAAAAAACTGACCTGCAAATCATCGAAATCTACAAGCTTTGGAAAAATCGTACACACGCACACATATTGTCATGATCATTTTGCACCAGATGAAAGAATAATCAAGTACAGTAGTCTGTTGCTTGCCAGTTGAAATGAAGATGAATTTAATTTTTATCTCCCGTTCATGATAAGTTCAAGCACATCAGTGTGTCCTCTATGTATTGCACAGGAGCGTAAGATATCAACAGCAACCGATGTGTCAGTGAATGCAAACGTTTTCAGAACGGCTGTAGAATCTTGTTCATGCTGGTAGTGTGATTCACATTATTAGTTGCTAAAATTGTTGCGGCAGGCAGGTCTCAGTTTATTTATGTTGTGTTACAGGTTTGGAACTAAGAATCAAGCATATGGCGGCTTACAGCCAGTTGGCATCCAAACACTTCCTTGGAAAGAGTATCCAAAGCAATGGAGGTTGAAGGAGGTAGAAATTGCGCATATGTCGCAAGTCTAGTTTGCTTTGTCACTCAGAATCTATTTTTGCAGGACAAGGAACCCCCGCTTTAGAAAAACACATAGAGGTTGTTGAGTTCTCTAACTCCTTCAATGCGGTAGCTATCCAGAGAACACGACGTCCAATAAATTTACGCGTTTCATGAGTTCAGTTGCGGACGTAGCTTTGTGGAAGTCCATGATCGTAATCAGATGCAAAAGCAGC